ATAAGATACCGTATTCTGTACATTCATGAAAATACATCTAACATTATAGATATATACCGAGCTGTTTTCGAATAAAATCCAGCGCGACATATATTTTTCAATTACAACCCGACGTTTCTGATACTTTCCAGCAGCCGTGGTCCACGAGAGGTATTTTATTTAAATGTGCACTCACGTAAACTACAGACAACACTTATAAGCGAAAAGGTATATTACCGTTTCTTATCTCATTGGGTTAAGTGTAGGTAGCTTAAATTAATTAATTGTTATGTGATACGTGGGTAGAAATCAAGTGTTAGTAAAAACCCAAATAAATCTATACTCGTAGATAATTGATATCTAAAAGACAGCAATTAATCCGATTTAATTGTTTATACTCAAAAGAAAACTAAAAAATATTACATAGATATTAAGTATATAGTCTGTAGCTATATCTTTTATTATACAGTTCTTTTAAATCATAATTTTACTATAGAAAACATTGAGCGCGTTCACAGTTTTTCAAAAAGCAATTAACTGAAATTAAAAAAAAATATTAATTACCTCCAAAAGGAAAGAATGCTTTAACATTTATGAAAGATTAAATAGAGTTTTTAATGTTGGTATTTAAAATACAAACAAACATAAACAATATTTTTATGTACCAATAAATAAGGTATACCTACGTTTAACCCGATCTTAATTTTATCAATATTAAATAATTATTTCACATAAAATTCATTCCTTGACGACTTAACAATTTATCTAAAATAAAGTAAGTTAAATCCAATCATCACGTTCGATGTATTCCTACGAACCAAATACAGTTAAAATAATAATAATGAAATTGTCTCAAACCCCATATTATTGTTAAAGTTGAATCAAAGAAATGATGGAGGAAAACAAAAGAGTTAGAGATTCTTATACTTTTGTATACGTTTGCTGCTGAAAGGGTCTTTCGTGTCCAAAACGTTAGTGTATTATTTATATATGTACTGTCTATAGTTTACGCGAATAGTACACATTTAAATAAAACACTTTAACGGTTTAAAACGCGATATATTAGTTAAAATGTTTTATTTAAATGTATTATTTATAATGATATTGATTTACTAGCTGTGGCCACGACTTCGTCCGCGTAGAATAGTTATTTTAGGCATCAAAATTTGTTTTCGCAAACCTCCCCTCCTCTTCCTCCTCACCTTTATAAATTTTAGCTTTTACCCTCGACGTCGTCTGCGTGTCGTTCCTGCAAGTTCACCTTATAAGATAGACATATATCTACTGATGCGGATATTTTGTTGAATCCCAAAGAGGAATCATTCGATCGTACATAGTTTTTGGGTATCCTGAATCGTTTTCGCGGAACGGAATCACACAAAGATTAATCATTTTCCCTTTTTTGTCCTCATTTTCCACGGTATCTTCGCTTCAATTACTCGCAGCGTGATGTCCATAGCCTTCCTAACTAACAAACATAAAAATAATATTTCAATTCGAACCAGTACTTCCTGAGATTATTGCGTTAAAACAAACAAACAAACTCTTCACGTTTATAATATTAGTATAGATAGGGAGAAGCCGCGCGCAAATCCTTATAAATATAGATCATGATAAACTATTATTTATATCAAATTGCTTATCTTTCGCTTGCCGCCCCGTAATGAGATTTGAAGCTTTAAACAATTAAAAATAATGTATATAATTGCATGAATGTCGCGTCTGCTTAATTAAATGTTATGTGATGGTATGACGTCAATGGAAAGTGATTAGTTGGCGCAATTAATGAAATTGTAACGCGCTAGCGCAAACTATGCGATGCCGCAAAACTATTGTGCTATCTTGTGATTTCCTCAACGGAAAATTGAGCGTGCAAAAATTATGCTCTGTTTTTTCTTATGACAAAGGAAAACAGTCGAGCTTATCGTTGACATAGGAGGTGAATTATATCCTATCCTTATAACATACTAGCAGACCCGGCCACGCGTTGCTGTGGCTGAAGTTAATTTTTTATTACATTGTGGTATACAATTTAAGAGGAACAGTAGGACCATCATGCTTTTTACATAGATGGAAAGCAGTGCCATCTATTGAATTGTAGCTTATATGACACGTTTGTCGGTTTACCATAGCAGTGCCATCTAATGATTACTTACTCAATCCATTGTAACTGTCAATTATTTATAGACAAATAATTTGCAATAAAATAAAATTGCGACTATAATTAAGATCTAAACTATCCAATGTCTCAAGTAGGACCAGACTGCTCACGGTGTGCTAATTTAATTTAAAATTGGTTCAGTAGTTTAGGAGTCCATAGCGGACAAACATCGTGACAGGGGATTTATATATATATTCAAATTCAAATTCAAAACGTTTATTGCCATAAAATATATTTACAAACTTATAACTTATAACTAAATGTGTACATAAAAAGAATAATAATATAGTAATAAATACATAAGAGATGGCAATCGGTACCAGTCTCAGCTATGCTGCTGAATGCTTGTCACACTCAGCAGCGCTGGTTTTCAGACTGGCCCGCTCATAGAAGTAAAAGAGTGATTTTTAGTAAAGTAGTATATAATAAATATAATTCCGAGATTGATATACCCTAGCCAATATATACATTATAGAATAACAATATAACCATTAATTAATGCACATCTGCTTTCCAAGGAGGTCCAGTTTAACATAGTCCAGTTTATATATATATATATATTATAATTAAGGTCCATAATATAATTAAGGTCCAGCTATTTTTGGATAACCAGAAGCCACAGAGTGAAGCGAAACGGGGATTTTTATTTTTTGTGGGTGGAATTTTAATATTTCTACCACTTTATGTATTCCATTTATACATACATTTTACGACGGAGCTAACATGTTAAAACAAAGTACTTTCCTTTGTAACAATTCTTAAACAAAAACATACGGTTATTTTTTTATGCAATGAATTTATTGTTTTTATAAATATTGTTTTAATATCTGTATAAAAAATCATATTTTTATGCATATCTAAAACAACACGTTTTAGATATGAATGAAGAAATACTACTCCCTTAATATTCATACAGTTTCGTGTAATTCAATATAAATGTGATTTAATTACGATCTCAGCACATCCTGTCATCCAACAAAAATCAAAGAGATCAAGAATAAACTAGGAAATGTAACATTTAATGTCCACTTTGATTTTCTGTCAAATAGCTAATATTCGCTACTTCCGACGATAAAAATTATACGGCATTTCCATCTTGAACTAGGCTCTTATTTTATTGATATAGGGCATAGTTTCGCTTGGGATAGTTATGTGGTGATGGATAAAGGTGGTCGGTTGTATCAAAGGGCCCACACACGATGCGCGGATTTCCGTAACTTTGTACGAGATCAGATTATTGATTAAAATATCATGTGAGGTTCATTCATAGGGCGAACGGGAAATCTTGTTGAGTAGTTTCAATGGATACCGGGTGACAGGGACATAGTAGTGGCGTAGTATGGAGAATGAACGCAAGTTGGTTTGTTATGTCATCAGCTTTATCTATATCATACCACTAGCTCCCACATAATAGTCTTAATTCACCACGCTGGTAAAATGCGTATTTATACATGAGATAGGTCGTCGAATTTTTGGCCTGTATTATAATGTTGTAATGCCTTATAATGTTTTTTTTTAATCGGGAACATGTTAAACTCACCAAACGTGAGATTATAAGTGATCAGTTTCTAGTGCTTTTAAGATAAATTCGATTTTTGTAATCTCCTTCATATCAAGGTAAAAGTTAACTATATGGTAAAATAAGTAAATTGGTATATGCCTAGCTTAAGATAGGATGAGGATTACTTGACCAGGTCATTGAGAAAAAACACAAAGAATGATATACTTTTTGTAGGTGCATCCTGCTTACATATAATATCTAAAGTAGAATCTGTTTATATCCCATTTTATAAATAAAAAATGTTACTAGTGTATTTACACGGAGTATAAACACAAATACTTACATGATAAAAATATACCTTAAGTGTTAGGTAAAACTACCCCTAAACCGGTACTCAAAGCGCGGATATTTTTTTACCTTATGCTGACATGTAGGTTTTAGCTAGGGATGTCACCTTATATGAAATACCCATCTAATCCCTTGTTAGTCACATAAATCTCTTATAAGATAAATACTAATTACATCACGTATATGGTTGTTTGTAAAAAACACCCGTTAAGTAATTGATATTGCTTGATATTCCCTTATTATATGTATGTATTTGATAGCTGTCAAAATTCATAAAATAAATGTTAATGCTCTTGATTAAGTCAAAATAACTTTTTATTGTTTACAAATAAATTTTTCGTAATGCTTTTACGAATCAAATAAAAGCAAAGGCAATAATTAATATTTATACCCATAAAAATTCTGCTATATAGTCTTGATGGTGCCGGCCCTATAGTTCAATAAAAATCAATCAGTGCAGGAGCTCAGCAATAGTTTGACCGAATGTTTTGCACGTTTCATTCAAAACAGTTCAATTTACCAATTTACGACAACTCTCTCGCTGTTGACATTTCGTTTGTAATAGATTGTGATGCGCAATACAAAATAACCCTAAACTTTATTTTCAGTTTCAAATAAACCTAACGCTTTGCATAGTCAATGTATAGGTATTAGTTGATCCTGACTATATATAATAGTAGATATAGACTTAGAATATTCCTATATAAAGATATAGACTTAGGATATTCCTAATGAGAAAGTCAATTTAATCATGAATAAAGCATAAGTCACTCACGTTCATATTGCATAACACATCTACATAGAACCGTTAATAATAGCGCCCCGCAATTCTAGAATCTTAAGTAGCATCCAGAAATAACTATAACCAAGTGAAATTGAACGAAACACGTATCGTTTGTTACAGGAAGTCCACCACTTCAAAGGAGATCAAAGGAGCCGTCAATTTAGACTTATTAAACGGTCAAATCATAAAAACAAACATGCAATATTCACCGAAACATTGAGACACAGATGAGTGACACGCAAGATTCACAGAACGAAACGGAAATGCAGACTGTCCTATCCAATTTCATTCCGGACATCGGGCATATAGAGTCGACTGACAACTACTATGAAGGTATATGCAGTTCAGATGATAAAACAAACGTGGACGATGAGAAAGATATAGAAGTAGATGTCACCGAAGAAATAGATAACCGAAATGACTTTAAGGAATCTACTAGTCATCCGAGTAACGGCGTTCGAAACCAAGAGAATAATGAAAGCAGAGATTCTTTAGAATCCTGGCATCCGCACGTATATGGTAAACCTCCAAAGATGCCCACACCACACACAATAGAATATATCCTTGGTTTGAGTAAGGATGACTCCAAGAAGACTGTTAGTTCGTTAATGAGTGTGAAAAGGTTTGGTCACGAGAAAGACACTAAATTAGTGCAGAATAGATTGCAGGAACAATTGCTGCAGAGGAGTAGGAATAGTGATAGTGCTTATGTGAAAGATGAACCGTTGAATCTGTCTGTGCCCAAGACGTGGAGTGACGAAGAAAAGTTCAACAAAGGTAAGCCATCGATGGTTTAAACTTCTATTACGCTACCACGTAAAATGATGTGGAACAATGCGAATGTCCTTTTATAGCACTGTTTGGTGATTCTTTACTGTTTAAAGCTTAGAGAACAAAAACTAAAGTTTTGTATTTAAAAAACTGTTTACTGCAAATAATTATTATCTATTGCATAGGTTTAAAAACACCTATTTCATTACCAAAAGGAACATACCTAACTATTGAAAACTTTAATATTTTTTACATGTTATTGCACATGAAGGCACTGTATAATTTAAAAATAGAAAATAAATTGAAAAAAATTTTCGACTCGGGCAGGACTTGAACCGGTATCGTAGAGCAACAGTGCGGAACTATTCCTAACTTGCACGTATGTAGCTTAAAATTAATTACTTTCAAATTTATATTAGGTACTAACTTATTGTACAAAAGTCATCAATAACATATTATTATTATTCGGAAAAAAATGCGTAATTTATAGGTATTATACTCGTATGAATAATATTTAACTCGCACTTGCAAAAACATGACACAATACTTATTTCACGTAAAATTATGTATAATTAATCAAAATATCTCTACGGAATTAATTTTAAAAGGAAACACCAAACATACTTATGTATAGGAGAGATCAGTAACAATTTTCGTCATATTTTGTAATATTTTAATAGTCATAGATCAGAGAAATAATTATAGCGGAAAATCTTAAATGAAATCAAACCATCTTTCCTATTAACAGAAACCAAAGACCGTCCTTTTCTCTATCTATTCAAAGTTATTTGATCGGATCGGTTTGGATAATTTAAAACGAATCATTCAGATACATAGTGCTTCCAATGAATTGATCAAAGATAAACAATAACATTAATGTATCGTTGGGATTCGACTCATCTATTCGAGTTTATAATCGTTTGAAGTCGATCGATTAATCGAAAAGACTAATGGGTCATCGATTTAACTGGACCGCTTAATCGATGCCGAACAAAAGTAAATACGTTGAGAGTATGCGTGACCAGAGGTATAGATTACTATCTGTTTGAATGAGAAGGTTATGTAAGGCTAGTATTCGGTACATACAACAGCTTATTGCTTATATGAGTTCATCATTTTTATGTTAAAATAAGTGCTGTCTTCTCTAAACTTGCTGGTTTACTGCATGCGTATATTGTAGCAAATAAAAAAAATACTAACAATGTATCTCTACATTCAGATTAGATACAAGTAATAAAAATGTATTCGGATTTTGGTAAATATTAATGCGACAAAGATACATAACGAGCAGTTAACTATATAATAGTAACAGTCTGGAATTTAGCCAAAGTTGCTCATATTTTTTCAAAAACATATGACATTCAATAACGTTTGGAACATCAAACAAACAAACACATGTGTATAACTTTTTCGAGTTAGTAGTAAAAACCTAAAAAAGGATTAGATAGATGACACTAACTGTAAGGGCTAACCCTACATGACCTAATCCCACACACATTGACAAATAAACAATTAGTTCCACGAACTTAGTTGTAGAGAAGTCAACGCCGACTGTCGATATTATAGTTGCATTGAAATATACACTTTAATGAGCGATTTTACAGTCGGATATCAAATGCAATAATTGTATGATTTATGTCTTTTTCTAATTATGTCGTTCCGATCTACAGTTATTCAAAACTGATCCATAATGAAACGCAATAAAGTTGAACTTTTATTACAATTTCGTTATCCGTACAGCGCTTTTGCATTAAGCGATCTATAAACCGTCCAAGTTGTAAATCAAAGTCAATTAGTGGAAAGTGTTCAGGTCTCCGTGTTCATATTTTTAGCCTCGTATTCATAGTCGTTAAATGCAACGCTTTTGTTCGTTTACGCGCCGCAATTAGTTTTATTGAATGCAATTATTATGACGGTATCGAAAAATGGTCTTAATTTTTTATAATATTCCGCCTGATTACGAACGAACGAACGAATTAACTTTACTTAATTATAAAAGTTAATGGTCTCAAGACTGATTTATTTTAAACGTGTAAAAGTACAAAGTTTAGAATTCTGCCCACTTTACTTAGTTATCTTGTTTGTCTAAGACGTCATACCTAAACAGTTTAGTTATTACTTAAATAATTAATAAGTACTTGTAATTTATTATCCAGGCGATAAAAATAATATTTAATAACAGTTTAACGTTATTACGAATTTAATTTACAAATTATACGAAATTTACAAAATCATATTTAAATTAAATTAGCTATTTAATCGATTGTTCGTGGGTGTGTGTGCAAATATGATAACATTGGGTAGATGTATTTATACGAAGTACATCACTAAAGTAACGATTGAAAGTACTTGTATTCGCAGAGAAGGCGAAAATAACTTCATTCTAATCTCAAGTCTTTAGCTTGCATTTATTGTGGCGTTTTAATCGAGATCCATGTTAGACAAATACTTCGTTACATTAATGGTTTATTTCATAAACGATAGTGAACCTTATTTCAAAGATCCACGGGTTGCAATATAAATTCCGAACGCAAGTACAATATTGTAAAATGAAATTCGAATGTCCGAGCAATAAGCTATCAAGCGATGCAGCTGCGTCGTCGGGGTTGCCAATTTATTTTTAAATATTTAATACAGATAATAAATAGGACTTCGGTATTATTAGGTTTTGGTTTAACTGTGGCATTAGCGTGTCTAATTGTCAATGGTGACAACTTGTTCTTTTAATTTTCATCTACAAATAAAAAGCAACATTACATTTATACTAATATATAAAGCTGAAGAGTTTGTTTGTTTGAACGCGCCAATCTCAGGAACTACGGGTTCGAATTGAAAAAAATATTTTTGTGTTGTATATAGCATTTACCGAGGAAGGCTATAGGTTATAAAATCTGTTCTGTGACTAATAGGATCGAAGATACAGCGAGAAATGTGACGAAAATTAGGAAAATTTATCATAATTATGGGTTTCCGAGGCGTACGCTGCAAAAACGGTTCAATCTACCCAAAAAATATGTATGAGAGAATGATCTAAAAAAAGTCCGCGCCTATGTCTATCTATTAAGATTATCTTGCAAGAACGACGGAGAGGGACGCGACCGACGTCGAGGGTAACATCTTAAGTTTATAAAGGTGAAGGGGTTTGCAAAAACGAATTTGCATGCCCAGAATAACGAATCTCGTGGACGAAGTCGCCGACACAGTTAGTATTTTAATAAAATACAAAATACAAAAGTATTTGTTAATTTCTGATTCATTTTCAATGCGACCCGACGTTTTGGGTGCTTTGCAGACCGTAAACTACAGATAATACTTAAAAGTACATATATGCATATTTAATTAATTTAATCACTATTTTAAATCCTTGTTGGAATCTTAAGTTGTTCTCTAATTAATTAAGTAATGGCTAAGTACTATGTACAATATCGACGATTATTAATAAAATCTGTGTGATTTTATTTTCATATTTCACCTGTTGTAAATTACATCCCTATTTCCTCTGTCGATTCTATCAAAGCCACACTCAATTAATCCCGCCCTATTCGAGAATTATTTACAGTTTTATGGATGGCAACATTCACTTAACCGTGTAGTCATCGTGCAGTTAATGTGTTTGTTAGAAATGTTTATTATGTTCTTAGTGTATAAGTAGCAGTAAAACATTAATGTTATATTATTTATTAGGCCTTTATTGATTTTTTACCTCCACATATGAGCTGCTAAAGACAGAGTGGCCTAATACCAAATAACATAATTTTCAAAAACGAGGAAAAATGCGCCATTAACTTAGGCGAAAATGAGTTTGTAAAAAGTTATGTTAACAATTTTCGGGCCCTGTGCTCTTGTAAATTATTATTTTTGGATTATGACAATATAAATAACTCAAGTCATAATATTGCAGTTAGGCTGCTCTGCCTCGGCCTCATATATTAAGAGCAGTAAATTTTAATTATGGGCTGGTATAGGTATGACTGTATTTTTTAGACTAGTGGATTCTAAACTGCATCATAATCTGACATGTAACGGTTTTCAATGATTACTCATGCTGTAACGAATGTTTTTGTCCGCTTGTGGCCTGAAATGGACTTTTCCGCAGCATTCCTTCCGTCTTAAAATAGCAAAGTGCACGTTTGATAAAGAGCAAAAGCCACTTATTGACCGCGTCTGTTTGTTTTTTTCGCCGCCCCATACCCCACGACTCACGTCTCTAACGAGATCTATATTTGCGGACACTTAAGCCCTCTCGCTTCCTTCGATCGCTTTAATCTTCCACACCGCAATACTTAGATAAATCACTTGTCTAGATTACCAGTTCGCAAATAAGTGCACCGTAGAACTACTGTACCTATATTTGTATTTACAGACACGGCGACAACACAATTGCTTACTGATTTTAAAGCTCATATTTTAGACGGGTTACACAGACTTTATTGTTTTGTAGCAAGCCGGAAGGAGTTCGCGATTGCTAAAGGGCATTCCATGCTCTGTAATTTCTTGGCCCAAAATATACATCAGCTTCGTATCTAATTCTAATCAATATTTTAATGAAAATTAATTATTTAAAGTAAACTTTTAAAGGTTTCGTCTCATAATACATTATTGAATTTATTTTTAACAAACATTCGGATGCTTTGCAGCAGTTGCAAACACCTTTTGTATCGTGTGTCGTTAAAACCGTTTTAAGTGTTGTCTTATACAACGCTATAATAAGTTTTTATATCACTAGGAAGATATAGATGTTCCCCTCAAGAAAGGAGAACTTAGGAGGTCCCTCCTATCTAAGCATTATATTAAAAACAATAGATCCAAAAGAGTGAAACAGTTCTGCAAAAATCCATCGAGTTTCGTGAAATACCAGCTACGGCGAAACAGATGGCGACAGTATAGCAGTTTATTATTATTTGCCATTAGTGGTAACCTCCATCTTCAGTTCCCTTGTAAACAAGTTAACTAATATATTTCGTGTTTTAAACCGTGTATTTAAATAACACTTTATCCGAATTGCT